GTATTAATGTAAATTTAATAAACATAACATAATCTAGGGCTTTAATCAAAGTTTGTCCATGATCTGTCTGCCTATCTGTTAATTTTTTACATTAGATCTTATGCCATATACACTAAGTCATACACTTATTTGTATATGCAACCATTCCCAGTTAATGTAGAACAAAATATGTTCCAAATATGACCTTGTCAGAAAGAGAAGTGCTATAGAAGGTTATCTACCTTTTACTAGACTCATTGTTAGCCTCCTAGACTCATTGTTAGCCTATGATGAGTTTTATTGTGTACAAGGGTTGATCCAGACTGCTATATATAAGCTTTAATCTTAAAGTGTCAGTAATGAAATTTTATTGACATATTTGATTGTCTATCCTTTTTTTTTACTCTTCACTCAGATAAATGTAATTATGCAAAACTGTATTAAACAAAAAAACTTCTATGAAACAGGACACCATATTTTATTGATATTGAAACATCTCAGTAATGTGTGGATTGAATTTTATTTAACCATATACTCTAGATAATTTTTGTCATAATATGCTGTTCACAGTCATTTGGTGAGTGTTATGTCCCAAGACATGCAAGAGTCTCTTAGATTACTTTTTTCAAGCTGTATTGTAAAAAATGAATCATTTCAATTTGAAGTGAAATAATGTTTTTAGAAAAAAAAATCATTTATATATCAATTTGGTTTCCTTTTAGTACGAGAAAACATCTTCTTCAGAGATTATTAGATTCTGATGTTCCTGCAAAAGTGCAAAAATTTCGAGACACAGATTTGTAAACCTAAGCAATAATTACAGCCAAATTAACATTCAACAGAACAGGAAAACTTCTACAATCTAATGTCTGCCAAAGAATCTCCTGTCTCTCGTATCAGATTGAATCATCCTGAATCAATGTAGGTCGGAACAGGGTGTCAAACCATTCCTTACAGAAAATCCATTTCAGATGTCCTATCTTTTGTAGAAATCAAAGTACTTCCACTGGACAAGTCAAACATTTTATATCGTGGCATGTGACATTATGACATTTATTTAATTTATTCTGTTGTATTTTAATGTGAACTGTGGTTTGAAATTATAACTAAAGTTGTTAAACTGTTTAGACTTAAAGAGTTCTCATGTTCTTTTTTATCCTTTTGTGTAAACATGTGTGATGGGGGGGGGGGGGGGGGGCTTCATTCATTTATCAAACTTGAATGTTTAATATGTATAAAAATGCACACAATGAGAGCATTTATCTGCTGTCTGACTTTGCTTTGATATACTTTTCCATAACGTTTCTTTAGATTAGCCTTGTAAACTATATTTCCTTAATTATGTATATGTTAAAATATTTTTGCAGTTTAGCCTCGTATGCTGTTATTCTGCATGTTTTACAGCTAGTGAGAAATTGTAGAAACTCATTTTTGACAGATCATTCCAGATTTAATGAAAATACATAAATTCCTTGAAAATCTTTTCCGTTCTTGAGTGTAGAGCAGACACATTAAGTGCTTGTCTAAGAAAAGCAAGGGTGCTTCTTCCAGAATTGTGAAATTCATCATTCCTAGGTTAGGGGTTCAAGTGTTAAGATGTTTTTTACTTTGTTATTTAACTTGGATATATAATTACTGTAAGTACAGTGATTGATTTGATATATATTGAATTAAAGACTAAATAAAAATATTTTATATAGTATCAAAGAACTTTATGGTGTAAGGCCAGTAGATTTGAAACTAAGTAATGTATAGATATTCAATAGACAAAAAAAATATAATTTGTAATTATTATTAATATCAAAATCAAGAGGGGCTCTTAGAAGGGGTTGTGTACTAGTTTTATGTTGAAACACAAATGATTGCTCTTGAGATTGATGTACAAACAATGGGGGTGTAGTAAGCAATAGCATGTTTAGGCAAGTCAAAAGATCTACTCTCATAGATATTGCAAATCACCAGATAATATTTTTTATTCTTGATTACCCTATTTCTCTTGTTTTGAGCAACATAGTGTCCTCTAAAATTTATTACATATCTAATTGTTTGTTGATTATATATATGTAATTATCAAATTTCTATATTATTGATCTTTAAAAGACTTGCATCGTAATCATGTGACCTTTAAGGTCCTTGGGTCTCGTGAAAGTGCCCAAAATGACATTGAGTTTAAATCAGACTAATCTCATTTTGAAGAAATCTTTTCTTTCAGGTATAATTCTTAAATGTTATGTTTACAAGACAAGCATTTTAAATTTTTGAAAAGTATTAAATCAAAATAGCATGAATCAAAGCTTTGACACATCCTATGTGGTAAGTAATATTTCTAAAGTTATGAAGTTCAATTATTGTTAATTTAAAAGTTATAAACCGGACGCAAATTTTATACATTTTGCCAATTGCCAGTGATCTTGAATTTGCGCGAAGGACCTTGGATTTAGGTCAGGTCGTGCTTTTAGGCCATCTTTAGAAAAAATGTTTACTTGCCCTCTCCCCACTCAGGAAAAAAAATTTGGTACGTAGATAGGGGTTGTTTTTTTTCACAAATACTTTCGATTATAAAGATAAATAGTACAAATCTCTTTTCTGCTTGAACTTTGAGTAAGGCGTGACAATCTCGGTGATACATAATTAGCGTCTCTCAAATACTGACCTAGATTCTCTTTGGTTAAGAAATTAATAGCATTAGCAACTTTAGATTGTTGTTAACAAACAAAGAGATGACATATGCCACACCTCTTTACTGTAAGAAACGATGTGCATGTAATTGGTTCCTTGCGTCACTCGTTGATGTCTGAACCATTTTTATCTCATGTGTATTTCACCCGTGAATGAAACGCTGTGTAAATTTCAGTATTGATGAGCTAATCTGGCAACCAATGAGAATCTAGGTCACTATTTATGTATAGCTGAGAATGCCACGCCTTGCTGAAAGTTCAAGCAGAAAAGATATTTGTACTAGTTCTTAATGGAGTGAGAAAATTTCGAATGAATAAAAAAAATATATTGGGGGTTAAAAAAATTCTTTGAGTTGGGAGAGGGCAAACAAACAATTTTTTAAATATGGCCTTATCGTTCTCAATCTTTGTTGTACTAAATATTAGTTGTTTTTACTGTTTCCTAATTACAAAGTTACAGGACACAATTGACGGACAGACGCAGAGACAGCAGAAAAAACGACAATAAAGTAGTGGTGACTGCTTAATTATTAAAACTCCCATGTGAATAAATATTTATGATTTTGCCAAAAATACAGTCTCCAACTTGCAGCGCTCAAAAATTTTGAAAGGTTTAAGTTCATAGGCACCCAACCCAATTTTTTTTTCAGCCTTTCCTTTTTCTTTTCTTTTTTTTCTTTTCTTTTCTTTTCTTTTTTTTTTTTTTTTTGAGTGTCAGGTAATTAGGATATTGAAACTGTTTCATTTTCAGCTCACCTATGATGAAAGCTCAAGTGAGCTTTTCTGATCACCCATTGTCCGTCTGTAAACTTTTCACATTTTCAAATTCTTCTCAAGATTGAAGAACCACTGGGTCAATTTTAACCAAAAATGGTACAAAGCATCCTTGGGTGAAGGAGAGTTTAAATTGTTAAAATGAAGGACCAAGCTTTCTTACAAGGGGAGATAATCAAGAAAAGACAAAAATAGGATGGGGTCATTAGAAATCTTCTCAAGAACTACTGGGCCAGAATAGCTGAAACTTACGTAGAAGCATTCTGGGATAGTGTAGATTTTAAATTGTTCAAATCATGATCCCCGGGGTTAGGGTGGGACCACTATAGGGAATTCCAATTTTACATTGAAATATATTGAAAAAAAAGAATCATTAAAAATTTTCTTCTCAAGAACCACTTGAGGTAAAAAGCTGAAACTTACGTGAAAGCATCCTGGGATAGTGTAGATTCTTAAGTGTTCAAAACATGCCCCCGGGGGTAGGGTTGGGCCACAATGAAGAATCCTAGTTTTACATTCCAATATATAGAAAGAAATCTTTAAAAATCTTCTTCTCAAGAACCACTGGACCATAAAAGCTAAAACTTATGTAGAAGCATCTTGGGATAGTGTAAATTCTAAATTGTTCAAATCATGACCCCCCAGGGTTATGGTGGGACCACAATAGGGAATTCAAGTTTTACATTGAAATATATAGAATGCAATCTTCAAAAATCTTCTTCTCAAGAACCACTGGGTCAGAAGAGCTGAAACTTAGTGGAAGCATCCTTGGATAGTTTAGATTCTAAATTGATCAAATCATGAAGTTATTCAGGTGAGCGTTGTGGCCCATGGGCCTCTTGTTTTTATTTTTGTTTTTATTAATAAGTGACTTTAGTGCCTTCTCTACACTTCACCCTAATATCAGGGTACTTTTGTGTAGTTAGACTGACCCACCATTTCACATAAAATAGAAAAAAATGATATCTGCACTATATGAAATAATTTAAAATAAGTCATCGTATTCTAGCTATTATATTAGACCAAGATAGTTTACTTGAAAACATCATTTGCATGTATTTTCTCCATTTGAGTAAGCAAAGACGTTTTTCTTTATTATTACTCTATTGTCTTTGAAGATTTTCTTTGATAAAAAAAGTCACTTTCCCTATATTAAAATGAATAAGTTAATTTCAAAATATCCCTCTTTACACACTATAATTTTTCTTAAAGTCCATTTTCAGAGTATAGAGGGTCCTTAATATAATTGGAGCTTATATACATTATATATCTTTATGAAAATCCTGATCATTTTTATATCCAACAAAAAACTAAAATCCGACAAACCTACCTTCCACTCTATAAATTACAGGTCGGCAACTGCAACCAGGTTTTTTTGTTTGTTTGTTTTGTTTTGTTTGTTTGTATACTGACATGCTGACAATATTTTCCATTTCTTTGACTTGTAATTTATTTCATAAATGAATAAATTATGCAGATTTTAAATATACATGTATATATTTCAGAATCCACCCATTGAAGTGAGCTTTGCAATCATTGATTTCCTATGTTAATATGTATTTATTTTAGAATCCACCCTCTAAAAGATTTAAAACAACAACAGAGGACGAAATGGAAAGATTATTCGAGGGCAGACAAGCGACGTCAACTAAACAGAACACTCAATGGGGTATGAGGATATTTCAAGGTACATGTCTGAAGATGTCTGAAGATAACCACATTTATTTATAATTGATTGTTAAGAAATATGTCTTGCATAGTAAATGCACAAATTGAAACAATTTGTGAATCTTCACAGCCATAGATATTTGATAAGGTACCTTTTAAGATGTGTCTTAGCTTGATCACCTGAGGTGAAGTTAGGGTAAGCTTTTCCGATCGAAATTGTTCCGTTGTCTTTTGTTGTTGTCATCATCATAATCTTGTTTACAATATCATTTTCTCCAAAACAACAGGGTCATATGTTGTAGATTCAAAATTTTCAGATTATGTCCCCAGGGAGTGATATGGTACCACAAATGAGACATTAATTTTACATGAGGGTCAATAAGGGAAAATATCTTTTAAAATCTTTCCAAGAACAGAAGAACCTTGATTATGCAATAAAATTAATACAGTACCCGCATCGTTATTCTTTACAGGATACACGATACGATAGGATACACGCACGATACGATAGGATACACGCACGATAGGACAGGATACACGCACGATAGGATAAACGGAAAACACGATAAACGCAAAACACGATAAACGCAAAATACGATAAACGCAAAACACGATAGAACTGATAAACGATCTTCACGATAGGATAAACGCAAAACCTGATAGGATTGTTTCAAAATGCGAAACGTTTTTTGACAAGACGAAAAGTTTTCTTTTTGATATACTATAGTATGATAATTTAAATTACTTACAAAGCAGTAAATCGAAATGATAAAATTTGAAGTAATTATGCTTTGTTAAAGATATGGTGTTTTTGTCAATAAAATTGATCGTCATCAAATTCAAACTGTAATTATTTTAAGAATAATTCCACTCTATGATGGAAATAAGGCGATTTTTTTGTGTAATTATACGAATGTCGAAATTCCTTCGAATCATTAAATTTGAAAGTTGAGTCCGTAGATAAGCGAAGTTTTACACCCAAGTGCAATAAATTCACGAAACGCTATAAATATTTTCATTATTTCCACAAATAAAACCTTATGAAATTCATAACAAACATTGATTATTTTTACGGAAAAACATGTAAAAGAAAAAATGAAATATTTGGATTCAATATCTTTTGCTAGAAGTCTGTGAAATATCCAAAGTCACCTTTAATAGTTTGTATTTAATAATTCAAATAAAAAAAAAATTACTAGTCATAATTTAGGGGGGGGGGGAGATTGAAAAATTATTGTTGTAATTATTTTAAGGTAAATGCTTTCTCCTCCAAGTTTTTACGAATTTGATTTATATTTTATATAAATTAATTAAATTTTTTACGTTTTAAAATTGCTGAAATTGCTAGTTGCATTGAGACAGACCGTGCACTGGACTGTGAATAATTAATCTCTCCTATATATAAATATATACAGTCAAGGGACATAATTATTCGCCACTTCCGCGCAAATCGCGTCACATTTTCTCGCATGTTCGGTAAAGTAGGGCTGAGCGCTATTAATAGACAAGAGTTTTTCCCTTTCTAATTTTATCTTTGTGTTGTAATACTAAAATTGATGACGTATACACAATATTTTTGTCGTCTGCTTTCTTGTTTGTCGATAAATTTATGTAAAAACAACATGGGTCGGAAGGGGAAAGAATTAGATACATCCGTCAGAAGTATGGTTGTTAAAGCGTACAAAGAGAACAGAAATACATCAGAATTGGAAAGAATACTAGGAATTCCTAGGTCTACAATACGTAGTATTGTGAAAAAGTTTGATGAAACGGGACAGGTAGAAAATCGACGAGGAAGGGGAAGGAAGAAAGTGTTTACAGACAGAGTTAAAAACAAACTTTCACGCGTGGTTAAAGAAAACAGACGAAGAACTTACGAAGACGTAACAGGTATTATAAATGAGGGAAACAATCATAGATTTTGTACTAGAACTATAAAAAGAAAAATTCAAGAGCTGGGATACAAACGGAGGGTTGCCAAGAAAAAAGTCGCTATTCGCGAGGCCAACAAAAAAGTTCGCTGCAAGTGGTGTAAGGAGAGAAGAAATTGGACTGTTGATCGTGAATGGAATAAATGGGTGTTTAGTGATGAAAGCCAGATAGTAATTGGAAAAAATAAGAAAGTTTATATATGGAGAAAAGACGAGGAAAAGTACAGTGCGCAGCTAGTGTGTCCGCCATCCCGACGACATCTGAGTATCATGATCTGGGGTTGTGTGTGTATAAAAGGAATAGGAACTTTAACTAATGTAGAAGGTAACATAAATGCAAGAAAATATATTGAGATATTAGACAACAACCTCTGGCCCGTTTTAGCCAGACATTTTCCAGGTAACCAGTACGTATTTATGGACGACAACGCTCCCGTTCATAGAGCAAATATAGTTAAAGAATACATCGCCAACAACAACATAATTACAACATCATGGCCTGCCCAGTCTCCTGACCTTAATATTATCGAGAACATTTGGTTAAAAATAAAAAGAACTCTGGAAACCCGTGCCGAATTCATTAACACTAAAGATCAGCTTATGGCGGAAATTCGGACTGCCTGGGAAAATGTACCAACTTCCTATATTGAGGACCTGTATAAGACAATTCCTGGCAGACTAAATGAAGTATTAAAGATGAAAGGCAATTTAACAAAGTATTGAGGTAAGATAAGCATTTATTAATTGTTTAAAAGATCCTGAGTATCAAGGTGCGTGATGTAAAAAATACGGCGGCCATTTTGAAGTGGCGAATAATTATGTCCCTTGACTGTATGTCACACATATCCCGTGCACATAGAAATTATTTACATATTCCAAGTACATTTCAATTACATACATTGTATATGTATATATGAGGAAGGAGACTTGCGAAAAAAAATCGAATTTCATAAAATTAATAAACGTCACTAGATCTGTCATCATGTACTATCCGGAAAAATATCGCATTTCCATTCTTTTGTATTTATTTTGGTATTTTTATAGGCCTGTAAGATTAAGCTAGAAGGGAGCATGCAGTCGTATAACTTATTAGAACACACACACACAAAAAAAAAAAAATAATAAATCAATTTCCACAATTTGACAAGTGGATTTTCGGATTGAATAATTGTCAATTATTGCTATTAGACTTTGTAATAATTGTTACAAAACTTATCTTATATAGGACGACATCGGAAAAATTAGACAAAACTTTGTAAATTATGAAATTCTTAACCCAATTTGAGGCACAGTCAGCGGGGAAGGGGGGGTCCATACACCCCCCCCCCCCAAAAAAAAAATCCGATTCAAAAAGCCAAAAAATAAATAAATAAATAAATAAATAAATAAATAAAAATAATAATAAATAAATAAAAATAAAATAGATTATAAAAATATATATTGAATTCTTCAATATACTAGTCACGTATTATATGCAATCGATAAACACAAATAAAATTAAATACAAGGTATTTACCAGTCTTGTGTATCACCGCAGAATCGGGTGATTTTTTTTTTCATGTATCTTTGAGACGCCTTTACATGTAACAAGGACAGACAACACAGAAAACCCTAAGATCCAGAAGTACCGCAAGCGCATTTTTTTTTATTTCATCACACCAATCATGTTTATGTCTGTAAACCTATAAAAATTACATAAAAATATACAAATGAACTAAATCAACGGAGTTTGGAGGACAAACCTCGCCTATATTTTATTTGATTCAATTATTCAATTTTTAATCTGTAACGGAAGTGTACATTTACCAATTTTCTTAGTATGAAATCTTTAATTGTTAATTAAGTGTTGTTCATAAAAATTATGAACAATATCCAGAAAATAAGTAGATGCATTTCATTGAAACCCAGTAGGGTTCAAGGTAAATATTTGACACCAGGTGAGAGCTAGAGTTCAGGTATGTCTACGTTGAATACACACGGGCTGGTCATGTAGGGGAAAGGGGGGGGGGGGGGGTCTTGACTTGACAAGAAGACAGTGTACTGATTAGGCAGGTAGGTGTCAGTTCTCTTGTCACGGTAGCGCTTCCACCTGTCACTAAGTTACGGTATATTACTTCATCTCCGCGCCGAAGTAGGTAAGATGTATAATAAAAATTTGTGTGGTTTTGTTTATTTATTTATTTATTTTTTACTTCTTTTAAATGCAGTAGTTAAATATGAATGACAAACATCTATATTATAATATATACTTATCAGAGAAAAAAAATAATACAAAGGAACAACAAAACTTGCGCGTATAGACAAAATTTATGTTTCCGTTATTGATAAAAAGGATAGCCTTAATAAAGATACTGATATTTGTTTATTCATAATTTATTTTTTGCACACATACCTAATGTTTCATGTTTCTATAATTATCAAAACAAAGTTAATAAAGGTCTCGCCTTTGTGACTCTGACTGTGTAAAGGGATTATAATATTTCTATCTTTGACAAAAAATTTCTTACATATCGACAAATTAAAAAAGAAAAAAACAAATGACTAAAATAGTAGATTGATTATTTCATGTACAAAAATAGAATTTGACTTTCGATTTGTGCTCTCTGCTTGGTGACGGTACTTGACGTTTATTAATTAATTAATTAATTAATTAATTAATTAAATAAATAATTTATTTATTTATTTATTTATTTATTTATTTTCTTTTAAAAATATACCAGAGTTAGAGTATTAATTTCTCTTTTTGTTCAACAGTAATATTAATCCTAAATAAATTAACAAAAAGAAAGATGAACTCGAGATATCTCGGGTGTTTCTTTTCAAGGTAAAGATAAAAAGCGAGGGTTTCCGAATGCACACGATAAACGCAAAACACGATACACGATAGGACCTGATAAACGATCTTCACGATAAACGCAAAACCTGATGAACGGAAAACACGATAGAAAACGCAAAACCTGATAAACGGAAAACACGATACGATAGGATACGATAGGATACACGCACGATACGACAGGATACACGCACGATACGATAGGATAAACGCACGATAGGACACGATAGAATTGTAAAGAATAACGATGCGGGTACTGTATTAATATGCCTGCAGAAGTTTAGTCAGTTTTTGACCTCAGCGGTTAGGATGTAGCCACAATATTGGATCTTTTTTAATGGACGTATACAAGGTACATGCATCTTTTTTGAAAAATTGAAGTTTATGAAATAAACTTATTACCGTACAATTTGTGAGAAAAAGAAGTGATTTAATCCCATAAATCTAAGATAGGTTTTTCCCCCACAGAATGCACAGTTCGAACCATATATCGTACTTAAAACATGAATTCCAGGGTTAAAATTGAATAGTAAATACCTTGTTTGCTATAATGGTTTTTTCTATTAGCAATTGGGTTTTTTTAATGTACTTTCCCAGGTAAAACTATTTTTAAGCATAAAATGTTTTTTATTCACTTGTCAGACAGTTTGGGGTAAGATTTAAAGGACTTTCTTCACATTAGTCACTTTCGGCATTGCACCACCTGCATAAAGACATTCTTCCCATGACGACGAGCGCATCTTTTAATTTAATTATAGTTAAGTCCAAATATTGAGATTGTTCTCGGTGATATTTTGGATATGGCGAATGAGTACGCTATGAACCAAATTTTAAGTCTTAAAAAAATTTAATGTAGAAATGATTCACCATAGCCAGTATGTAGAAATTATAGAAAGATTCAGCATTTTTATTTAGAGAATTTCAATGATTTCATAAGAAATGGGCTATTTAAAAATATTGAAGCTTAGTGGACATTGGTCTTGCACTTGTTCGGAAGTGCTTCTGAATGAAGTGAAATTCATGTAAAGCAAGAAAATAGGCTTTGCAAATATTGATGTGATCTGCAGTAGTGAAAAAGTGGGGGGAAAAAAGATCAGGAATAATTGTGAAATGTGAGACTAAAAATCAAAAATTTTGGAACAGGAATTCCTTAAATTCCTTAAGGGCATTATGTGGAGTGTAAATCTGTTCCATTTATTTAATTTGAAGTGATTTTTTTTTTCTTTTGCTGTTATTTTACTGGACACTATCAAATAGATTACGAAGATAACGAACAGTTATCAACTCAAAAGTCCATCGGAATAATACGTCAAATAGGGAGAAGAGCAAACACGGACATAGACCTTTTAATTCATTAGTTGTGGGATCAGGTGCCATGGGGGAGTAACTTTCCCCTGTCGACCTGACTCGCCCGCCGTGTGCTCTTTGTCATGATCGGGCAAATGGAAAAATAGACAATTATGAGGGGAAATAATGGCCTAAGAATTTTTATAAAAACCGTAAGTTGAAAATAAATGTCCAATAAGTTTTAGAATTAAATATTTCCAAAGCTTTTTGACAAATGCAGATAACTTATTAAATTGTTTTTAAGCTCCAATATAACAGCCGAAAAAAACAAAGGATTAAATAATAAACATGTTTTATAACAGATATAAGTTTATTCAGACTATAGCCACAGGGGAAAGAGTTGGGCCACATTTGGGGATCAAAGTTTCACAAAGAAATATTATAGTAAAAAGTCAAGTAAACTTTCTTTTCCCAAACAACTGGACCATATTAAGTCATTTTATTATTGCCTGGGTATTTCAGACTCAAGTTTGCTTCAAGTTTTCTTCAACCTAGGGTATGGATCACAAATCAAATTAAATTAGTATTAATTAATTAAGAACAATTAAATCATCTTATGTTTACTGGCAAGAATCTTCAGATATTGTAGTCATATTTTTTGTTATCATGGTCGATGGCACAGTCTAATGATGCAATGAAAAATGTTATTTAAAAAAGAATATTTGAAGTTTTAAGTCCACAACTGCAATTTCACAAAACCTGTTTTCCAGTACCTTGACTTTCAGATTAAACTTTGTTTTCATAGAAAATGAAAGCACAGCGCCTCTAAATGTATGAAGTGGTACATAGAGTGTGAGTCAATAATTTGGACGTTTTGAGCATAAATTGAACCTAGTTCTTTGTTTGCTATGTGCTTGTTGCCAGGATAACAGCTGGGAAAAGTTTTAAGAAGTTGATATTTTCAGCTTCAACTTCAATAATGACTTAGAACATCATACAAACCACTATCTCATAAACTTTACACCTGAATGCTATAAAGAAAGTATTTAGAATATACTAGTATCTCTAAGTAAGAAGTAACCATTGGTACATTGGAATACATTTTAAATATTTACATTTTAGATATACTCAGTATTTACTTATAGCAGGTGTACCAAGGACAATATTGTTCTAAAAGAAACCTTCATTGTTGCCTTTATGGTATAGTGTTAATGTGTAAAATTATGACAATATCAAACATGAATATAAACATTATATGTGACCTCATGTTTGCATTTAATCAGACTTCACTCAATATGAGTCATATTATGGAAATGAGTAGATCAACTTCTTGTTACATAGTCAAAGAAGCATAACTCTTACGACATTATCATTACTGGAGTTTGTGTGTGACCTAGTGTTTGGCTTTAAATTACCGTATAATCAAGTGCCTCCATGGTCTAGGGGTATGTTGCTCGCTTAGCAAGGGAGAGCCCCGGGTTCAATCCCCTATCGATTCCAATTTTCTTTTTTTAATGGGTTTTTTTTTTTTTTTTGGATTTACTAAATGATACTATTCAACATGTGAAATGAAAAAGTTATGATGTCTGGCGTGTACAAACTCATAAAATCATTATTACAGTGTGATAAATATTCTGTATATTAAAAAGAATCTTCTATACACATATTAAAGAATAAGCAATCAAATCTTTATATCCATACTGGCATTTTTTTAATTTGCTTCAATATAAATGTATACATTTAATAATTCTACAAATACAGGGGGGCAGTGTGACCCCCCCCCCCCCGAACTGCGCATGCTCTTCTTTTTTCCCTAAGCGGGGGATACAAATTCTCTGAATTAGCTTGTTCTAAAAGAAACCTTCATTGTTGCCTTTATGGTAAAGTGTAGCCACACAAAATTTGTTTTAAAGTTTTGGTTAAAGAAAAGACATGGACATTCGATACTGGAAAATATGCATAATTAAGGCCTTGTGACCTCATAACAATATAAGATATATTGTGATTAATCTTTATTTTGTAAACATGGAATCAATTGGTTAAGAATGTTAATTATTTGTTGATTTATTTGCCTTTCAATCAAGAAATGTATTATTTGAGTGTTCGAACTGTGATTCCCGATTTTCGCCAAAGGCGATTTTTTTCTCAAAAGTTTTGAAAAGAAATCCAAAAGTGACGAAAATGCAATTTATTTTTAGATATACTGTATAAAATTGTATGTACCACAAATAAGCTCCTTTGTTTGTTCAGTGCATACAGATAAGCTCTTATGCTTATATAACATACAGAGGTGTGAAATGCTCTTGATTACACACAGATGACACTGTAACTATAGGGGATACATGCAGGACTACTTGAAATCAAATAATCAGATAAGTTATTTCCATAGTAAGGTATGTAATGGTTGATTTCCCGAACATAATTTTCATGCATTGATGATATCAAACCTTCAGTTTTTGGAAATAGTCATTGTCCCTTGTCTGCATTGCAGCAAACATTAACCAAAGAACTCTGAAATCATATTCCAAACTTTAGAGCATGTTGTCATGCATGATGGTAACCATGACACATAGCAATCATTGATTTAATTATTTTTATTTATTAATTTTTTTAGGCCTGATTTAAGTTAAAATATCAAAGAGAGTTTTTAGAATTTCTGACACTATGCGAGCAACAGTTTTCTATATAAAAGTTCAAGTAATAACAGAGAATGACTCTTTAATACTTATATTTGTAGATGTTTTCCTTTTGATAACCCTTTGAAAGTTTAGTGTGTTAATTTCTGGATATTTACAACTGAATGTAAATTTATCTGGGTAAAAGGTCATTTGCGGAAAATGCATGTCCACCGTGTCAATTTCCAGCTGTCGTTGTATCTTAGGTCAGTAGATGGGATCTATGAGACTTAACATGGGTTGTTTTTTATTTCACATCTGTTATCTACATTTCCAACTGTTTTCTCTGTGATTAACAATATGAGAAACCTTTGTGTCAATTTTTTTCTTATATATAATATATACATATCTCACTTGAAATGCAAGTATAATGTCAGATATCAAATGTACATGTAAATGAATGGCATACTGTAGATTCCTTATTTTACGCGAGTACTTATTATCGCGAAATGACCCAAGGGCGTCAAATCGCGAGAATAATAATTCGCGAATGGGTGATTTTTCTAGAGATTTTACATACATTCAAGCACCATAAAAATAAAAGCGAGTAATTTTATTTCGCGAGCGGTGCTTCTGCGAGCGGTGCTTCTCGCGTAATTACGCGATAATTTATTCCTCGCGTATATTTAGGAATCTACAGTATGAAAGGATATAAAAAAAATAGACATTTTGCGACTTACTTAGAAAATAAATAAGTTAGTTTATCTTATTACAAACATTACAAAAGAACGCTACAATTATTTTCATGAAATGTAATAAGCATATATTGGCTTTATACATATACATGACTCTTGTGAACATCTGCTGAAATTGGATGACCTGCACATTTCCATCACTACCAAACACACACTCAAAAGTCATGAAGGCTGTTACTCCTTAGGTGAATTTTAGTGTACTGGTCGTCCAGAAATGGATGAAGTTAAAGATGCTCAATTAATGCTTGCATTAGTTTCTGATAATGCATCGGGCTTAGTTTTAATTGAACCCCAATCTTCAGATCTACAGGAGTCAGCAGATCCTAGTATGCCTGATTTTGATCCATCTTCTGAGGACGATTCTGATTCTCCTTTTGCCTACGAGAATGCCCCGGACATAGTTACATTTAAATCCCAGTCTGTACGTGCTCCTGCTATGGATTTTCCGCAGCCAGCAGATTCGGCTTTGTCTCCTCCTGAAAAGCCAAGCACAAGTTCTCGATTTAGAAAAGTTACTGAGGAGCAACTGCAATCATATCAGGAAATGACTCAATCCAAGAACACCAAAAAACACACCAGATGGGGTGTAAAGATATTACACGGTAAGTTATTTATACTTCAAAAAATGTATAACAAATTATACCTGTCCATGTATTTTGGTATATACATGTAAAGCTGAATACAGATAAAACAAACAGGTCCGGCGCAATCTCTTGATTTAGCTATATAGCTTGATTTAGCTATATAGCTTTATTAAGCTATTCAGAATTGCTTGAAGTCGCACCTTGGTGCAGTGAAAATATTTAAGCTTGGAACTCTCATCGAACTGCGTTTTCATAAGAGACTTCATACTCAAAAGTTCTAAAAGTTTTGGGGCTATATAAAGCAATTGATACAGTTACTTATTCAATGAAATCATAAAGGAGACTAATTATGGTCAACTAGGTTATTGATTGGTAATAATTCAGTACAATGATAATCAATCATACTTATCCACGCCTCAACGCACACATGGTAGTGTAGAGTTACTGAAACAGTGGCAGTTCATCTTTTGCTTAAAAGTATTCAAATGCTGCAGTGTTAGAACTATCTTTGATTTCGGTTGTTGTTTTGATAGCCCATTGTATATATATGAATAGTCAAATACTTGCGACTTTTTGCCTATTTCTTAAAAAAACTTTTTAAAAAAAGAACTGCACATAAATAGCTTGATAAGCTTAGCTATTTTGAATAGCTAAATAACCTATATTGCTATTTCAAGCTTTATAGCTAAATTATGTGATTGTGCTGGCCTGCATAAAATAAAACCAGAGTGAAGAAATAAAACAATAAAATGCAAAAAAAAAAATAATAATCAAAAGAAGCATACAATAAGTATAAAACATTTTTTGTAGATTGGCATTTGGAAACTTTCAACCATAATATTGATCTTTCATCGGTGAGCACAAAAGAATTAGCTGCCAAACTCAACCAGTTCTATTGCGAAGCTAGACCTTGCAAAACACCAAATGAAGAATACCATAAAAATACTTTGAAAGGCATACGCGCTGCAATCAACCGAAGGTTATCAGATCTTGGAAGAGATATTGATATTGTCAATGACAAATCATTCAAAACTGCAAACAAATGCCTAACTGGCATCCTGAAACAACGAAAGAAAGAGGGAACATCTCGCCCCACAAATCACAAGGAAGTAATCTCAAAAGCGGACCTTCAAAAAATTTCAGCTTTCCTGGAAACTGCATATTCCTCACCAATTAATCTGCGTTTGGCAGTATGGTACATTATAGCAGTTCACTTTCTATCACGAGGATTTGAGTTTCATTGTCAACTTGAAAGAGACTCGTTTGAGTTCAAAACCGACGAGAATGGTATGACCTATGCCTGTCTTACTCAAGAATCAAAGCGAAAAAACTATCAAAGTAGGCTCGATAAAAACGAAGTGATGGCTGATAAACGAATGTATGAAACACAATCCACAATTTGTCCTGTAAGAATGCTAAAGTTCTTCCTTTCAAAAACCGTCAACAGTGCTTCAAATTTGTTTAATAAGTGTGTAAGAGAAGCACTCGTGAATCCCACTCTTGAATACTGGTATACAGGTAAACCTTTGACGCAAAGAGCATTTGTGAATTTCTTACCTAGTATTTGCAAAATGGCAGGATGCCAACGCTACACTGCACCTTGTCTCCGCGTGACAGCTATCCAAATTATGAATAATGCTGGAGCTGAAGGGCGTCAGGTCATGTACATGTCCGGACAGAGGAATGTGTCATCCAACAAAAGCTACAACAAAGAGCTGTCTTCAAATCAAGAGAATGTGGCAAACCCGATGTTGTCGATCACCGAGGTCGAAAATCCAGCCTCTGTCAACACTGAGACCAAAGGGGGAGACAGAGTCACAAACACCCGGCCTCTATCATCTGATGTAGAAATCGTACCATGTGCTCTGCCCTGAGTCATCTGATGTTTTAAACAAAGACTACTGCAATTCAACTGCTGTTTTGTCACCTTCAAAACGATTTTCTCTCGAATTTGCGATTTATAAATTAAGCAACATGGTGGCAGAGGCCACATATTTCAAAAAAGCTTTTCAAATGACTTTCATCACAATATAAAAATGTTTTTGTCGAATTTCATTCATTTTTATCATTGCCAACATAAATAAATAATCATTAAAGTGTTTCGATATTTTAATCTGACATTTTTAATTGGTTGAGCTATTCCCTGTAATCACTTAAACTTCTTGCTACGCACGATCACTGATTTTGTTGAAACCTTGCCCATTATTACAACTTGACACCGTAACACCAGAAAGATGTATCAATAAAATGTGGTTGCTATTTGTCAACAACTCTAGATAAACAATAGAAATATTTGACCTTAAGTAATATAGTAGGATATATTTAATAGGTCACCTGAGTCACAGGTGACGTATTGCTATCCATTTTCGTCCGGCGTCGTGCGTAAACTTTTCACAATTTTCGACTTTTTCTCAACCAATGGGCCATTTCAACCAAATTTGCCACAAAATATCCTCGGGTGAAGGTGATTCAAGTTTGTTCAAATGAAGGGCCATGCCTTCTTCCAAGAGGAGATAATTAAGAATTGGTGAAAAATTAAAGGCATCTTTTAAAAATCTTCCTTCTTCTCAAGAGCCACTGGACCATAGCAAAGGCGAAAAGATAGAATTTTGAATTTTTACTGAAGTTTTTATTATATTCATGATTCATTTGATAACTCAACCTTGGCCATGACCTTTTTATGGTTGATGCTAGGGCTTTCATATTGTGCAAGTCTTTTTTTTTTATTATTATTTTTTTTATTTTGTGAACTCCCCTTAAGCATCACTTACTTTGACCTTGATCTTTGAGTTTGTCATACTTTTCAAAAAAAAACAAACTTTTACCTTGTCCATAACTTTTGAATGGTTGATGCTAGGGCTTTCCTATTTCACATGTTTATTCTTTGTGACAAGATACTCCTTTTGGAACCATTATTTTTTTTACTCTTTAACCTTGACATAAAAGAAGTTTATATAGGAAAATATGAAAATTCATTTAAAACATTTTCCTCAATAGCATCATAGCTATATTTAGTCATATTTAAATGAAAGCATCTACAGGTAGTGTAAATTCAATTTTGTGCAAATCACGACCGTCAGGGATATGGTGGGGTCATGATAAATAATTAAAGCTCCATATGAAAGTGCATTAAGGTAAAAATTTTATAAAAATCTTCTAAATAAGAGCAAAGAGATGACTAATCGTATAAATATGAAAGCATCATTAAAGAGATGTAAGTTCAAATTTGTTTAAATCATGACCTCTGGGGTAGTTGGGACTACAATAAGTTATCACAGATTTACACAGAATAAATATGAAAAATCTATACAAATATTCTTCTGAAGAGTTTTATCTATATGGAAGCACCCTTAAAAAGTATAGATTCAAGTGTTTGTTCTAGCCATGACCCCCTTGTATAGGATCGGGCCACATAAGGCGATCAAATATATAGAGAGAGAGAAAGAGAGAGAGAGGTAATCTTGTGATAAAAATTAGCAGGGCCATTAGTGACTCGGGTGAGCGTTGTGGCCCATAGTCCTCTTTTTTCCAAAAAAGATTCTTGCGTTATGATAGAGCAAAGGTCAGAGAGCGAATCTTAAGCAACATTTGTATACAGGAAAGGCAAACATTAAATATCTTCTTTAGAGCAGAAAATCATGTTATTTATATTGATAGTAAAGCATTTTAATATTATTGGATTCCAGTAAAACTAGTAACATAACCCCTTGGACATAAAATGGGACCACAAGATGCGTTAAGTTATATGTACACAGAAAGAGGGGGTTGAAATCTGTTTGTAAGAACACCAAAACTTGTTTGACTAAGGTGAGCTGTTTTGTCAATTTTGCCTCTTGTTTTCAGATTGGAACAAAGAATGTTTTGGAAAAGAATTAGATATGGAACTTGTAGATCCATCCACGCTATCCAATCTCTTATCTCGATTTTACTGTGAGGCTAGGCCTAAAGCTACCAACGCAGATGAGACCATTTATCAAAAGAACACACTAAAAAGCATCCGAGCTGCCATTAACCGCCACCTTTCTGATCTGAAAAGACAAATTGACATTGTCAAAGGAGAAGAGTTCCGTGCCACTAATGGAATACTGGAAGGACTTTTTAAGGAAAGGTTACGACTTGGATTATCAAAACCAACCAAGCAGCCACAGCTCATAGAACACGAAGACCTGAAGAAAATTTCTACCTACCTTCAAGTCGCATCAGAGTCTGCTGTTATCTTGCGCCAGGCAGTATGGTATTTACTTTCTATTCATTTTGTTACTAATTATATGGAGTTTTTTCATCAGCTGAAAATAGATAGTTTCGAATTCAAAACAGATGGAACTGGTGAATATGCAATAATTAAACCTGAAACGTTGGGAAGAAATCATGGAGTTGCTGAGGCTCATTTAGACAAAAGACTGTATGCTGTGGCGCCCGGCAGTGGTGTGTGTCCAGTAAAACTACTTAGGCTGCTAATCAAGAAAACAGACAAAAACGCCATTAGGCTCTTCAATAATTACAGGAAAGATGTTTGGTTAGATGTAAACGAAGAATGGTTTACGGCAAAACCCATAGCGAAGCGAACGTTTGGAACAATTCTGCCTAATCTGTGCAAGGACGCGGGTGTGTCAAACAAGTACTCTCCTCAATGCCTTAGAGCAACTGTGATCGCTTATATAAATGAAGGACATGATCCACAGGATGTAATGTTGATAGCTAATCTATGTAACGAGGATTTTGTTAAATCATACAACAGAGTTTCTTCATCTCACAGAAAGTCCATCAGCACATTACCGTCCCTTGGATCTGCTAAAAGCCATGTTTTGAATTCCTCATCTACAGATGAATCGGATTTTGCTGTGACTAGTTTTGAAGCATAACGCAAATACATATTGTAGCTGATTCATTTTTATGCCCCGCCGGTTTCCTAAGTTAGTGTTTAGCTCATTTCAAAGCTCAGTTTCAAAGAAACTATCCAAAATATTTTCATCAAACTTCATATCCTGATAGATATTGATGAGAGCTCTGCAACTGCATCAACATTTTTGACCTTGACCTTTCCTTTGACCTTGACCTCACTTTTCCTAAATAAGTGTTTAGCTCATCTTTAAAGATACCATTCAAGATAGTGTAATAAAACTTCATATGTTGATACATACTGATGAGAGCTATTCGCTTGCATCAACATTTTATAACCTTGACCTTTCCTTTGACCTTGACCTCACTTTTCTCAAATTAGTGTTTAGCTCAGGTTTAAAGAAACCATTCAAGATAATTTTATCAATCTTCAAATGCTGATACATACTGATGAGAGCTATTCAACTGCATGAACATTTTTTGATTTTGACCTTTCCTTTGACCTTGACCTTACTTTTCTTCAATTAGTGCTTACCTCAGTTTTAAAGCAACCATTCAGGACAGTGTTATCAAACTTAATATGCTGATATATACTGATGTAAGCAATTCAACTCCATCAACATTTTTTACCTTGACCTTTCATTTGACCTTGACCTCAATTTGATCAGTTTGTGTATAACTCGGATTTAAAGAGACCATTCATAATATTTCTCTCAAACTTCGTATGCTAATACATACTGATGTAAGCTTTTCAACTGCATCAACATTTTTTGACTTTGACCTTTCCTTTGACCTTAACTCCATTTATTTTAAATTAGTGTTTAACTTAGTTTTAAATAAACCATTCGAAATATTTTAATCAAACTTAATATGCTGATACATATTTGTGCGAACTATTCAATTGCATCAGAAATGTTTGACCTTGAGCCTTCTTGTGACCTTGACCTCACTTTTCTTATATTTTGTTTAGTTTTAAAGAAACCATTTATTATATAAGATATATTTATGTAAGCTTATGCACTTATACATAATTTGGTGAGAATTTATCATGTATATCCTACTTTTTAGATTTCCATTTTAAAGAAACTTTTCAAGATATTTTCATCAAATTTTATACACTAATACAAATTTTCATGTTGCATTACCAGTATACCCTTGGCGGGGCAGTCATGTCCTATGGACATATTTCTAGTTCAATCTGAACCAAAGAAAGTCACCGAACACTCCCTCTCTCTAAAATACGCCGCTTTGAAAATTACGTTTTACTTTGGCAAAGTTTGCATCTACGATTCTCTAGACAAATCACATGCTCATTTCTGCTGTTTTCTATTCCATATAATTTATTTGCTATATCAAATTTGACAAAAAACAAACTCGGCAAAAGCAATTTTGAAACAAACCTTCAATCACACTGATGCAGGAAACTAATCATCTAATGATGATGTAGTTTGTTTATGCTTCTTTTGTATACTAGTCACTAGCATATAATTTGTTGTACCTAGGAACAGCAGTTGATACTTTTAAAAGGTTGTCCACTCCTCAGTTCTGCAAACCAATACTTAAGTCACTGAATATTCTAACAAAAGTGTAATTGAAATCACAAAGTCGTGTACTTCTTCCCGTGTATTTTTTTTCTTCAAAGTTTCATCATTTAAGTTTATTATTATTATTAATAACATTTTATATAATGATATTGGAAAATATCAGGGGGTTTTTAAGGAAATGTAAGCAAAAAATATTAATTATGCAACTTTTACTTACAATTTTCCATAAATATGTTTCAGAAAAATAATCAATTGTAAAATAGTAGATGTACATACCCTATATCACTGAAATCAATATAATGCTAGTAAGCATCGATATAAAAATGCAAGTTTAAAAGAAATTTCTTATCCTTAAGATATATGTTTAATATCTTTTCTTGGATATTCTAATCAATAAAACTAGATATATTCCAAATATTTACTTTTCCTGAATGATTTTTTTTATACATGATCTAATTTGTATGGTTAATGAAGTATGTATAAGGAATAGTTAACATATTTCTTAAGTGAAACGGATCTGAGAGAGTGAAAGAAAAGTAAAGATCTGAAAAAATGATAGAAAAAGTAAAACATCTGAGAGTGGAAGAGACACTGTAAGCTAATTATTATTCGCGATTCCTCAATTTGGAATCGATCCTAGATTACTTATTTCGGGAATGAGGCAACATTCTGCATAAATACTTAGGCAAATAATTTGTTCGCGACGAGAAATATTCGCAAGTAAAGGAAGGTCGAGAAACTCTGGAATATTTCTTGCTTACGGATAAAAGTTGGTTTACAGTAATAGAAAATATCTAGAGAGTGAAAGGAAAAGAAAATATCTGAGAGTGTGAAAGAAAAAATTAAAACTTCTCTGAGAATACGGAAATGAAAGTAAATATCCGAGAGTTTAAAAGGAAATTTATGAGTGTGTAAAAGAAAAAGTAGAACATCTGTAGGTGCGAAAAAAGGAAATATCAGAGTTTGAAAGAAGAAAGTAAATATCGGAGAGTTTGAAAGAAGAAATAATTATCGAAGAGTCGAAAAGAAAAAAGTAAATATCTAAGAGTATGAAAGAAAACAGTAAATATCTGAGATTGTGAAAGAAAAAAAGATTTACTATCTATGAGATTGAAAGAAAAAGTAAATATCTGAGAGTCTTAAATAAAAAAAGTAAATATCTGAGAGTCTTAAATTAAAAAAGTAAATATCTGAGAGTCTTAAAGAAAAAAATATCCGAGAGTTTGAAAGAAAAAGTACATATCGGATACTAGGCAGAAAAAGAAGATGAGAGTGTGAGTGCAAAAAAAAAAATAATATATGAGAATGTGAAAGGAAAAAGTAAATCTATGAGAATGTGAAAAAAGTAAGATATCAGATGTAAAAGAGAAAATAAGTAAATATCTGTGAGTTAGTAAGGAGAAAAGTAAATGTATGAGAGTGTGAAAGACAAAAGTATATAAATGAAAGTCTGACAAAGATAATATTTGAGAGTGTGAATAAAGATGTTAATATCTGAGAGTTTGAAAGAAAAGAGTTAATATGGAAGAAAATTAGATATCTATGAGTGTGAAAGAAGAAAGAAACTATCTGAGTGTAAGCAAAAAATAGGTTTCTGAGAGTATGAAAGGAAAAGAAAATATCTATTAGAAGAATGTGAAAGAAAGAAGGAAATGTCTGAAGATGTGAAAGTAAAAAAGTAAAACACTAAAGTTTTGAAAAAAAAAAAAAGTAAATGTCGGAGAGTGTTAAAGAAAAAAAAACGTGTATATCGGAGTGTGGAAGAAAAAGAGTATATCGGAGAGTGTGATAAAAAAAAAATAGTTAGTGTCTGGGAGTGTTACAGAAAATTTAATATCTGAGAGAGTGTAGGAAAAGGCAGAGGATATCAGTGAAAGATAAAATTAAAATCTGATAATATGAAAGAAAATTAAATATCTGAAAAATCTAAAAGTGTGAAAGACAAAAAATAAATATCGGAGAAAAAGTAGAACATACCTGAGAGTGTGACAGAGGACGTAAAACATATCAGGGAAAGCGATAGAAAAAGTAAAACATATCTGAGAGTGTGAAAGGAAAAAAAATAAATACTTGAGAGTGTGAAAGAAAAAGGTAAGTTTCTGATTATTTAAAACAATACAAAACATCTGAGAGTGTGAAAGAAAAAAACTAAATATCTAAGTATTGAAGAAAAAGTAAAACATATCTGAGAATGTGAAAGAAAAAGTAAAATATATCTGTGAGTATGAAAGAAAAAGTAAAAATGTGAGAATGTAGTAGAAAAAGTAAATAATCTTAGAGTGTGGCTAAGAAAAGGTAAAAATATTGGAGAATGTGAAGGGAAAAGTAATACATGATTGAGTGTGTGAAAGAAAAAGAAAAACATATCTGAGAGTGTGAAAGAAAAAGTAAAACATATTTTAGAGAGTGACAAAGTAAAATAGAAGGTATTTGAGAGTGTGAAAGTAAAAAGTAGAACATAACTGAGAGTGTGAAAGAAAAAAAGTAAAACATAGCTGAGAGTGTGAAAGAAAAAGTAAAACATATCTGAAAGTGTGAAAGGAAAAGTAAAACATATTTTAGAGAGTGAGAAAGTAAAAAAAAAAGTATTTGAGAGTGTGAAAGTAAAAAGTAGAACATAACTGAGAGTGTGAAAGAAAAAAAGTGAAACATAGCTGAGAGTGTGAAAGAAAAAGTAAAACATATCTGAAAGTGTGAAAGGAAAAGTAAAACATATTTTAGAGAGTGAGAAAGTAAAAAAAAAGTATTTGAGAGTGTGAAAGTAAAAAGTAGAACATAACTGAGAGTGTGAAAGAAAAAAAGTAAAACATAGCTGAGAGTGTGAAAGAAAAAGTAAAACATATCTGAAAGTGTGAAAGGAAAAGTAAAACATATTTTAGAGAGTGAGAAAGTAAAAAAAAAAGTATTTGAGAGTGTGAAAGTAAAAAGTAGAACATAACTGAGAGTGTGAAAGAAAAAGTAAAACATATCTGAAAGTGTGAAAGGAAAAGTAAAACATATTTTAGAGAGTGAGAAAGTAAAAAAAAAAAAGTATTTGAGAGTGTGAAAGTAAAAAGTAGAACATAACTGAGAGTGTGAAAGAATAACTTTATATCTGAGAAAACATCTGAGAGTGTGAAAGAGAAATTGTGTGAAAGAGAATGTGAAAGGAAAAAGTTAATGTCTGAGAGTGCGAAAGGAAAAAGCAAAACATATATGAGAATGTGAAAGAAAAAAAGTTAATATCTAATCATGTGAAAGAAAAATCAAAGCATTTCTTAGAGAATGAAAGCAAAAAATATGTATCTGAGAGTTTGAAAGAAAAGTAAAAGATATATCTCAAATATTGAGTTAACAAACAGTATTCAAGCTCAAAATCCATTAAAACAATACAAATCGGGAGCAGAGCAAACACGAAAACTCCAAAAACATCAGAGGTGGGATCAGGTGCCATGGAGGAGTGAGCATAAACTGCCAACCGGTCTCACCCCCTGTGTGCTCCTTGTCATGATCGGGAAAAACGAAGAAATCCGTATACAATTCAGTGTGTAAATAATGGCCTAACAATGATTTAGTAAAAAAGTCAGTCAGCATTTGACTTAAAGATAGGTTGTATTTGCTGACAACGTCATTTTATCGACCATAACACTCGCGAAATGATGACTTCAAAACTTGAGTGCAGATATCCTTGTTTGTCAATCGCTTCCCCCGTTTTAGAAATGATCAGTACGTACTGGTCCCTGCCGACAAAGCAGGTAACAACATTGTCTTTGTTTGTAAGGCTCATTATATTAAATGTATTTTAGAGGAACTTGGATTTAATTCTACAAGTGGTAATCCAACTTATACTCAGAGTTCCCTTTCTAAGGAAGAAATTCTTCAAAATCATATGTCAGTTTTGAATATTTTTAATATTCTAAACAACCAAAATGAATTTGAATTACCATATCTATATTGGATTCCGAAACTTCATAAAAATCCTTACAAATACTTAGCGGGTTCGTCGCCCGCATGGTGCAGTGGTTAGAGCGTTTGCTCTAGAGTCGCGGAGTAAGGAATTGACCACTGCGGGACGTTGAGACCGGTCCTTCGGATGAGACCGTATAAACCGAGGTCCCGTGTCACAGTAGGTGCTGGCACGAAAAAGATCCCTCACTGTTCAATGGCCCAGAGTGCCGAGCATAGGTCAAATTTGTAGCCCTCCACCGGCAAGTGGTGGCGACTCCATATGAGTGAAAAATTCTCGAGAGGGACGTTAAACAAACAAACTAACATAGCGGGTTCCAGTAAATGTTCAACCAAGCCTCTTTCTTTACTCCTCACTAAGATATTAACAGTAGTGAAGGAGAAACTTCAAGAGTACTGTGCAACAATATACTCTAGAAGTGGTGTAAATCAGATGTGGATACTTAAAAATACCAAGGAACTTTTGAAAATTTGAAATCACA